CCCCCCCGCAATGTGTAATACAGTGTTAGCTTCATTTAGTACCACATTTCCTACTTCATTAAAATAACTGCCAGGTTAAAAAAAAAAAAAATTCCTGCAGTAATTTCTGTGTCTGTAGAATAATCTGGCAGGGAACTCAGGTGAATATTACATTTAATTAAAATAGGCAAGATTAAAAATGGATGCGACTGGAGACATCTTTATTAAAATCAGTAGAACTGATGTCCACTGCGATGTGGACAGTTCTTTACATTTCTTGCACTTTGAAAGCTTTAGTCTTTTTATAGGAAATTTGTTTCCATGGGTGAACTTAGGCATGGATGAGTGCGGAACAATGCATTGTTTGTTAAAACAAACTTTTTTGAAGGGAGTGGGCTTAAAAGGAAGGAAATGTGGTTTAGAGTTAAGTTTCTTTTGAAATTTCTTCCTATTATTTTTCCTCATCCCCTCCCAAAACACAAAACAAAAGTCCAAATGACTAGAAGTCCCCAAAAACTGATGCTTCACCATACATATCTTTAAAATATTTGGTATAATCTGGAAAGCCAGAGAGAAAAATTGTCAGTTTAAAAATCACTATCTGTTTCCTTTCCCTTTCTCCCTCAAGAACACACAGCTTTTGTCTCAACTTTTCTAGTTTGTGTATTTGGCAGAGTTTTATCTAGTCTGTGTCACTGGTGTGTGTAAAGTAATTTCAGCTTCAATTTATCCATGTGCTTAAACATTTTGCTGAATCAGGTCCTTGCATTCTCTAATCCCTGGGTTGATCATTCACAGGGTCACTCTGGAAGGAGGAACCCTAAGGAGGGTAGGTGGGGATGAAGATCTAGAGGTGAACTTAAGGCAGGAATACAGTTTAATTTTTAATTGTCTAGATCTAGAGTGGACAGCTGGTTTGAATCTCTCTTTCTCTCCCTTTCATTTAGAGGTCCTCTGTCAGACAGCTACTACGTGACGAGCTTCCTTGCTGCTGGGCCGAGAGTGCCTGATGCTGGCTATCATGGCTGATCCTGTAGCAGAAGAACACACGTCTCAAGTTAGTGAACTCTGCTGTGAATGTGGTCAGTTCCACCTCTTGCTGGACAATCATCTCTACAACTTCCAGGATGAAGTGGATGATGAACTCATCTGCCATATCTGCCTTCAGCCTCTGCTCCAGCCCATGGACACCCCCTGTGGACATACGTACTGTTTCAAGTGCCTTGAAAACTTCATGCAGGAGTATAACTTTTGTCCCATGGATCGGAAAAAGCTCTCTTTCCAGCAGTGCCACAAGTCCAGCCTTCTAGTACGAAACCTGTTGGATAAGCTGATTGTCTTCTGCCCTTTCAAGGCAGAGTGTCAGCAGACAATGCAGCGGTGTGAACTAGAAGCTCATCTGCAGAACAGGTGCATTCCCATTTACATTATCTTATTGCTCCTTATATAATGCCCTCTGTCTGTTGTACTTCTGACTAGAAAGATCCATTCTCAGAACAGTTCTTAAACTGGGGCAAGGTGGGACACCAGAGATGGCAGGGTGAGGCCAGAGAGGTAGGTGGGTGAAAACAGCGTAATTGTGCGTGTGTGTGTTAGGGAGGCCAGCTCACGTGTGCTACAGAGGCGAAGGGTGAGGTGCTTGTACCCGAGTTGTCTGCAGACACAAAACCTATCAAATGTATATAAATTTGTGTGTCCTGATCTCCGGCACCTGACTCTGAAGATAATTATGAACATGCTTATTCTTGTTTCATTTGCGCAGAGAAAAAAGGCACTAAGTCAACACTCTGGAAGCAAGGGATTGTGCAGTGTTGCCAGTTTAATTGGCCCAATTAAGATGTGCAATACATAAGTCTTTGATCCAAATAATGTAAGTCCCTCCAAGCTGCACATTATGCAGTTGCTGAATCACCTACTTATAATGCCATTATCTTCTCTTTTGTTGAGAAAGAGAAGCAACTGAAAAATACTTATTTTTTTTTCTTTTTTTCCCCCTTGTCCAGAGGAAGGGAGTCTCTTTTTTTCTTGCGCTTGTCAGCAGAAGTGTGTTTTAGTGCTTCCACTGCTGGTTGAGCTGGTGGCAGGTAGAATATTGTAGCTTTAAAAGAAGTGCAGATAGCAAAGAGTTCTTGCCATGGTGCTTGAAGAACACTTGTTCCTACCTGGTTAATGTTTGCAGGAAAGGGAGCCAAGTACAAGCCCTACCGCAGGCAGAAGCAGCCCTTCCTTGGCAGTGTATCTTTTGCCAGTGGGCAATGAAAAAATGCAATAGGCTTGTTTCCCTCCAGCTATGTTGTAGCTTTTTGTGGCAATGGCATACTTAAAAAATATGTCAACCAGTGTGCAGGGAACAGTTAGGATACCTTTGCAGTTCCAGCCAAGGACCTATCCTTGCAGTTCTTGCTCGTCTTTAGTACCCACGAACCAAGAGCTTGGAAGGAAGCCAGAGAAAGTGACGGAAGATGCTCATGTGCCCCTTTCCCTTGATCTGTGAAAGCCTATAATCTCCTTTTTCTTAACTAACTCTTTGTACTGCTTTCTTGTTACCAAGCAGGGCTGAATGCTTAGACTGCAGGGACAGCGCTGCCCAGCTGGGCAGCTGTTGTGTGGCTGGGGCCATGGCCCACACCAGGGCTGGGCCTTCCTCTCTGCTCTGTAAATCTGCCCTGGTATCAGTAAACTTCTGTCACTTGTTAGTCCCTTTGGCACAGGATTTAAACACAGAAGAGGGAGGCACTGTTAAATGTTTACATTTAGGGACCTGTCTGGAAACTGTATCATTCTCTTATATATTTTGTTGTTCTTTGTACACCCCTTGGGGAGGGTGTGTTCTGGGCTACTTTATCTGGGTGGTGAGGATATTTAGACTGAAAAATGGAAAAAAAAAAAAAGAAAAAAATTACACTGGTGTTTGAGTGTTCCTGTTTCTTGGTTTTAAGTGAGATCTACTCATAGCAGGAGACTTAAGGAAATAAGAAGCATCTGGCAACTTGTTTTTTTGGGCGATTTCTCTGCCCTTTGCGAAATGAGTTTTTCTTGACATCTTAAGAGGGACATGTGTACAAGTGGATCAGTCAGTTTCTGTCTTTAAGTTTCAGGATCATCTTACTGCTTGGAGAATAAATGACTAGGAATAAACCAGAGGAAGTAATACTGGGATGAGACTTGTTTAGCCAGAATGTAAATGGTCAAGTTTAATTTGAAAAGTGACTCTGGTAAACACCCAATACAACTTATGTCTCTGAAAGTGATGCCTTTGCATTCATCACCCCTCTCACCTGCTACCTTTTTTTATAAGAACTCTTGATAAAAGAGCTTGTTTTTCCTTGCTCAATTTTGCTGAGAGAGGCTGGCTGTGGTGTAGCTGTATACGGAGCTCATTTTGTTGAATGGAGAGTTACTTCTTGAACCTTTGTGTGGGGAGCAGGCAGTGGGATTATAAACTCTAAATTTCTCCCATTCAAGTAAACAGTCACCTGTGTGGACTGGAGGTGGTGAGCTGTCTGAGGGTCAGGTCTTATCCAGCAAAAAAAATAAGCAAGCCCCGCTTGCTGCTCTTGTGTGTTACTGGGTTGTTAAAACCAAAACCTAATTCAAGGCTGAGCGTGAAGCTTGAGCCACTTTCTTTGCATAAAGATACAGTTCATAGTCATCTCTAAAAGGTCAGAGCTAAGTATTTGCTTGTATTTTAAGAGGTAGTGTTTTCTTCACCAAGTGCTTGCCAGGTAAATATTTAGCAAGGGAGACTCTGTTATTATTACACTCTCCTTTTTTAAATAATTGCTTAGTAATTTTGAAAGTAATAAAATAACAAGCCTGCTCTTAAGCTGATACAGGTAGAAGCTGAAGGTCAAATGACAATAAATTTTAGCATCTGTGATACAAGCTTTGCATCTGAGATCTTGAACATGCTTCTTCACATACCTTTGTCAGTCAGAGCTTGCATGTGCTGGGTTAGCGACATGGGCAATGACTACCCACTTACAGTCACTGACAACCTCTCTCTAGATGTCCTGGTTTCAAGAAATACAAATCTGAACTGCAGCGGAAAAAGAATCCCATTTCCAGAGGGAAGGAAGATCCTCCTACCAAGGTGGAGACAAACAAGCCCAAGGATCCAGAGGTACCAGGTGGAGGATCGTCACTTGTGGCAGAAAGCTCTGCAGCTGCTGTGGTATCACTAGTGACTGCAGAGCCTGGACTCGTTAATCCAGCTTTTGAGGAGACTGAAGAAGGTAAAGAGTTTGATACAGAAATGTGATTACATAATTACCTTTTACAATATAAAAATGAGGTAATTATCTTGGATAATTCAATTTTAAAGTGTCCCCAACATTCTCAGATACCCTCAATGCTATTCAGCCGCTAGTAGCCATCAGAGTAATCTCTTTCCTCAGCTTGTCCTGGAACAGAAGAGAGATGCATTCATATGTGTCAGGTGTGACAGGATCTGCTCACAAGCACAAAACTATCTGTGCAAAACGATTCGGAGGATCTCTGTTAGACTGCAGTGAATATTTGCAGTATTCTTTGCAGGAACAGAGGCAGTCTTTTACTGTGAACATGCAGCATTTAAAGCACCTACAGAAGCCAAATAATTAGTAATTAGGAAACGTTACAGCTTCTTCTTATGTTAAAAAAAGTTAAATACACAGTGAGTTTCCTGGAGTACCTCCCTAAGGGTGTGCAGCAAGTGTGTTTTTATAATATAACTTAGTTTTTGGATTAATAGTCAGTTATTAAACCTTTGCAGATAGAAATAGCCATCTCCACTTCAGCATAAAACCTCTTGTCTCCCCCCCTGCTAGAAGGCAGCAGCATGGAAATCTCTGTGCCTTGTTCCAAAGTTAGCCTCGGTTTCCAAGTGTGCAGGCACTGGAGCTGGCAACTCCTGTTCCTGTGCAAGAGTTAATACACAGGTCAGTTTACTTCTCTGTTGCCTTTTTCCCAAAGTACCCTTGAGGCAGGTTTTGCATCTCTTGTGTGACAACTGCAGTTCACCCTGACAGGCAGTGTGCTTGGCTTCATTAGAGCGTTGGGCCTGCCTAAATGTTGCAGTGCTGGTAGATTTAATACAACTTGCTAACAACAACTTTCATCTTCAAAGTGTCTTGAGAAGCACTGCTTAGTCTTCAGGATGCTGTAAATAGGTAAGCATTACTCCTGTTTTACAGGAGGGATGGGAAAAGAGGAGGAAAGGAAATTAGAGGAGGGAAGTTGCAGTCAGCTGCCTGTGGTAAAGTCACCAGAACAGCAGACCAGTAATTACAGCTCAGTAGTCCCCTTTTCTAATGGCCATCGTGGAATTTGGCATTTGTTATATCTGCACTTCTGGTAGGCCAGCTGTCACAGTAGAAAAATAAATCTCTAAATGGTACATGAAACATAGTGAATGCCCTTTAATAAAACTCAAGAAATAATAATGAAAGAGTTCAAATTTGCCATAAGCTAGGAGAAGGTGGGAAATGTTCTGGAGAAACTGTAAAGAAACAGAGGCTTTTAAAATTTTTAATCTGACCTCTTGTTATCTCTCTTGATAGCTGCTTTCCCTCCAGATGCTGCTTTGGGACAGAACCTGCCACTGTTAGAAATCTTGTGTTGCTATGTGAAGGAAAATTCTATTAATATGTTGGTTTTCCTCTTCAATTTCCCCCATCAGACCTTCCTCAAAGAACTAGTCTTGTGGCTGAAACGACCACAATTGAAATACACCGAGAAGACCCAGAGGAAGAGCTGGGGATGAGGATAGTTGGGGGTAAAGACACCCCACTAGGAAACATTGTTGTTCAGGAAGTCTTGCGGGATTCTGTCATTGCTGCAGATGGAAGAATAGCACCTGGGGACCACATTCTTGAGGTATGTAAAACCCCACTGGTAGTCACATTGCCTCTCTTGACTTGAAGGCTGGGGGAGGAGAGTTACCTAGAAAAACTGGGAAATCTCTACAGCTGAGGGTTTAAAAGCACTGATCAGACTTGTGTGTCAGTGGCATTGTGTATCTGCTGGGGCTGAGAAGCAGACTTCTGAGGTTCCTTCCAGTCATAGACATATTTACCTTGCATATTTGATAGCTTTTTGAAATTTAGACCATTTTGGATAAATTTAAAGATTTCTGTCTGATAAATTTCACCCAGTAGCACCCTATCTCTCCAAAGGACTGTGCTCTAGTTAGGAAGTCTGATAATTGCTTGCTATGCTATGTTGCTTAAGCTGCATATTCTCAATGGGCAGGTCCAATGTTTAAGACCTTACGACTTGAAGTAAGCATCAGATATGTAATGTGAGTAATAATGAGCACCAGCCTCATACCAGGCTGACCCACAGGCAGATGTAGTTTCCAGATTAATCATGCTGCATGGCAGTGGGCTAATCAAGGTGACAAAAGCTTGCATGCAGCAGTAAAGCCTACATGCAGCAAGAACTGTTAGTACCTCCCGGCTGTGGCTGCCCAATCATTTGACAAGCCGTAAAGACCTAATTATCTTCTTGGACTGTGGACTTTGGCAGCCCCACACGCACAAGTGGCCAATACAATTTCTGAGTTGGTTTCTTAAACGAATAAAGTAAATTCTTTTTTTTTCCAGTTGAATTGTACAAGTCTCAGGGGTGTAAGTAGGGCAGGTCCCCACGCTTAGGAGCCCTATTAACATCCTAAAAGAAGGCTGCACAGAGTCTTATGTGACAACAGACAAAGTGAAAAGTAGCTTCTCAGAGTCACCTTGGTAAAAGCATGATTAGACTGATGATTCCAGAAGCTTGTAGACTATAGACCACTCTTCAACTTAAAAGTGAGGATGGGTAGTCTCCAATTTGAGTCTTCTCCTCTGAGCACATACTGAATGCTGGAAGTTGAGAGAAAGCAGTTCTGCATTGCCATGGGATGGATGTAATGATTTAATGTTTTGCAGTTTCAGATTTGTTAGTTATGTGAGTTGCCCTGTCTTGTTCCTTGTCCTCAGCTATTCACCATCACTTATGGTCTAATTTCATCTGCTTTCTTCTGTGTTCTTTTTTAGAAACTTCTGCTCTCTAATGTGCATCAGAAGCAGCTGCTTCAGTCAGGGCATTGCACAGGGAGTTGTACATCCTGTCTCCAACTCTGTGATGTTCCGCACTGTGGACAGTGCCTAAATTATGTAGGTTCTGATTAGTGACTCTGGCTTGTTTGTCTTTCTAGGTGAATGGCGTCAACATCAGCAGTGTGACTCACTGCCAAGCTGTCTCCTTCCTGCGCCACCCAGGTCCTGTCCTCCACCTCATGGTCCTGCAAGAGAAGGGTTTTTCCAATAAGACTGCACAGCAGGATTCCACTTCTGCTACAAATCGGGAAGTGATCCACGTTACCTTGATAAAGAGAGACCGATCCGAACCCTTGGGAATCAAACTGATCAGGAAGACAGATGAGGCAGGGATTTTTATTCTAGATCTGTTAGAGGGAGGTTTGGCAGCCAAAAATGGAAAGCTGAGTCAAAATGACAGAGTCTTGTCAATAAATGGCCAGGATTTGAGGCAAGGAACACCTGAGGCTGCTGCGCAGATAATCCAGGTAATTTATGACATGGTGAGGCTGTATGGCTAATGACTCTGCAGCTGTCTGCGTTGATGGCAGGGCTCCTGTACTGACCCAAGGGCTAACAGAACACACTAGAGCAAACTGCATTCCCTGAAATATCTCATTGGGAAAGTGACTTCCCTGTGGATGTGTGGGAAGCACCGCTTCCAAATGGAGATAAACATGAAGAGTGGGAATCCATCGTGAGTCATCTCTGACAAATCTGAAGCGAGGCAATTGCTCATGGCACTTTAGTTCAGCTAAGGCAATTGGGTCTCCTTTCTGCTCTGGTGTTTGAAGCCTTTCTTGCAGAGTGAGTGTTTGTGCGCACTGTGTGGATGCATGCAGCAGAGATGAGGAGAGATTAGGACAGACTCTCATGCTTCAGTCAAACTGAAGGTGTTTGTTGGGAGATGTGGTAGATTGGCAGCACAGAACAGAACCCTTTTGACTGATTTGAAGCCCTCTCCATTTTACCTGTATTTGGGAAGGGAGTCTAGAAAACAACATGAGGCATCTCAGGCTAAAAACATTCTAAAATACTAAATGGGTAAAAGAGAGGTGGTCTTTCCCTGTGCAATAGGAATGTGCTCCTGTTGCAGCATGACAAATATTTTGGTGAAAGGAGTGAGCAAGGAATTTTGGTTAAGGATTAAGGATTGCTATGTGTGCAGCAGATACCATGTAGCTCAGTTTAAATTCTTTATCTCCGTAGGCGATGACATCCAGTTTCTGTTTTTATCTAAAGATCCTGACACAATACATCTCATCACATACTGTTTATATCCTGGAAAGGATCTGAGGTCAGCAGCGAGGGAGAGCCAGTTCTCTTCCTGGTAATCAGCAGAGGACTGCAGTGGTGTGGGAGAAGAGAGAGCAGACTTCCAGTCCTGAGACCCTTTTTTATGTTATATATGGGATTCCATTCTGTGGCCTCTTAGAATTTTGTTTGCATCCCACAAGTGCTGCTGTACTTCTGTTGTAATGTGCAAACATAACTCCCATACGAGGAACTCTTTCTTGATCCCACTGAAATCAGTAGCCAAAGTCTCGGAACCAGCTTCATTAGGTTTGGGGATTGAATTCCTTTTGAAGTGACGTTTGTGTAAAACTGTGACAGTCTTCCAAACACTATGTCGTCTTCTGAGGGCTAACTCAAATTCTTGGTTAAATGTAATTTTACTTTGGATCGCAAACCATTTGCAGAAGAGAGTCCTTCCTACCTGTGTTGTTCAGTACCATTTACAACTTATATATTGCACAGCCATACTTACTGTACATAGTCTGGTACTCCTGCTTGAAGGGGAGGGCAAATCCCCATTTTAGGATGTGATGATTACAATATATTTTATGAAGATGTGGATGTGTGCCAACTTGTCTGGAAAAAAATTGCTCTATGTGAAGTGATTTTTGGAGGCAAGAGTCTTGATGAATTAAGTTTCAGGAAACAAAACTCTCCTGTACTAGTTTAAAAAGAAAAAAACAAACCCAAAACAGTTGATGCACTCCCTCTTCCAAGGCCAGGGAATTCACTGCTGCCAGGGTGCTGTGGCACCAGGGGAACAGGGTCCCAGAAAGCCAACCGTACTTCTCTCATCCATTGCAGGAAATGCCCCAAGTAAGCACATACGCCTTACCCCAATGGAGTCCTTCACAATAAGGTTTTGTCAAATTATCTGAAAGAACAAACCAGATTAGAAGAGCAGTAACAATAGTGAATACTTTCCCTGTAGTTCTGCCAAGGCCCGACACACAGCTGGTTAAGTGTTTAATCAGCAGCAATCTTAGACAAAAGGCCATGTCTTCAGGTACTCTGGGAAAAAAATAAGTGGGAGATGTTGAACAATAGACCTAATGTTACCTAAGCTGGGAGGGAAAGAGCTTTAACAAGTTTCTTTAACAATAAAAGAAAAAGCATCTAGCACTCATATCATGGTCATCCATGGTGTGGACCAGTCAGCGTTCTAGCTTTGTTCCATTTTGTATCACAATACAATATGCTATTTTGGTTATTTGTACTGAAGTGGAGGAATTAATCATCCATTTCCACTTTCTCATGGCATTTGTGGGGGAGGGAGGCATGAGTGAAGCCTGCCTCTACTACTGTTCCTTCTGACTAACAGTTGCTAGTTCATTTTTTCTTTTCACCATAGGATTCTGTGGCTCTTCACAAAAAACATTGCATCACATCACATAGCCCTGTTTCGGACCCTTTGTAGAAACCAGTGCCAACCCTTCTCTCTCCCCAAGAAAGGGACAGGGACTGTCCCTAATTTCTAATTTATTTTTCTCTCTATTTTATTTACACTCTTTTTGTTTCTCCTGGCAGAGCACTGAATCAAGAGTGAATTTTGTCGTCTTGAGGCAGCCAGGTGTCCAGCTGTCAGACCCAGTAGAAGATGGCAGCACATCAAATAACAGTAGCAGCAGCAGTAGCAATGGAGGAAGCCCGGTGCATCATCGGAGACGACTAGACCAGAATCACTATAGACGAAAATCTACCTACCAGAAGGTAAGTTTTTGTAAATAACGGCAAAGCGCTTTTTAGTCTTGGTTTAGCAGACCTATTATGTTTGCTCTATGATGGCAGTTTATCATATAAGACTGATCAGTAGCTCCATTTCTTCTTGAGCTATTGAAAAGCAGCAGGTTTGTGGCTTTTGGTACTGGAGAAAAGTACATTGTCATCTACTGGGAAACACAATTTGTGGGGAAAAACATGTCAGAATTTCTTCAAATATCTCTAATGTTGATGCAGAACTAGTGGTTAATCCTTTCTTGTCTGGAAAGGGCCATGGGAAATTTACCATCCTGAGATGCTTGGGACTTGCTTCTTGACATCCATCAAATGCAACACGTTTAGGGTATTGCACGATGACACCGAGCTATGGTTCTGGTTTGGAGCTGGAGGGCTTTATGGTACAGAAGTAGAAGCTACAGAAATTGCACTGTAGTGCTCTTGTGACTTGAGTGTTGTATCTGCCATCCATTTGCATAAGAAACAGTATGAGCAAGAGGAGAATCGCCAGCCTGTTATACCAAGAGAGTTATTCTCTTGTTATTTTCTTCCAGATCTGGGTTTCTCATGTTAATTGCATTAATGAAGCTGCATTTTGTACTGTCATTTATTTGTAGGATTTACCTCAGGGATACGTAAATCATGAAAAGACAGTCGCAATAAAAAAGGAACCAAAGGAATCTTTAGGAATAACAATTGGAGGAGGAAGGGATAACAAAAACAAACTCCCTATATATGTAACGAGTGTGCAGCCCATTGGATGCCTGTTCAGGGATGGCAGAATCAAGCGAGGTAAGGAGGCTCTCACACCCCTTATCCTTTAGGAACGGTTATTTTTTTTTCAGTGAAAGTTAGACTTGGACACTAAAATGAGGCCAGAAATGGAGTTCCACATGAGACCTTGGGGCAGAATTGGGCTTCATAGCAAAAGGTCTATGATAATTCTATCTTATTTAATCAACAGGAGATATGCTTTTGAGTATAAATGGCATTGATTTGACTCAGCTGAACTACTATGAAGCTGTCTCAGCACTGAAATCTAATGCAGCTTCCCACTCAGTCATATTGAAAGCCTTGGAAATCCTTTCATTAAACTCGACAGAGCCATCTCCGGACATCAAGGAGCAAGGATTCAGCTGGTCTCCCCTCTGGATCACCTGGCTCGGATTGCCAAGGTACGTTTGTTTGGTGACTGTATAGAGATCTGTTCAATCACAGAGTTGACTTTCACTCAAACACTATACATCAGTTGCTTTGGTGGTTAACTTGGAAGCATTACTGGTATTCTCATTTATCTCTAAGGCAGTCGAAAGCCTTATTTATCAATGAGATCACAGTATAATGAATGCATAAGGAACTTCCACTGCTTTTTATGGAGTGACCCATCATTCCCTCACTTCTGTTTGACAGTAACCATATTTCAGAAGTTCCTGAAAACTTTTTTTTCTCAGAGAACTGAGACAGAGAATGAGAAGTATAGATTCTGGCATTTGAGACACTGACTTGACATGTAGTTAATGTAGATACGGTCCCTGATAAAATACCGTTAACTGAAATCACTCTGTGGCTCTTTCTGGATCATGTAATAGAAGCCAACAGATAACCTGGGCTCTTTTAGAGTTTCTGATCTGATCATCTCAGTTAGGAGCAGGCATTCTTTTGGTCTAATTCTTTTTGGCTGTTATAATTGTGACACCTTTAGCATGAAGCAGAAATGATTCTGAATAGTTGACTTTTCCTGCTGCGAACCTTTGGACTGTAGACTTAGCGCAGTTTTTTACGAGCAACATGGTTAAGTTCCAGATGACAGGGTTGAGGCTTTGAAAGCCTGAATTTCTATCTCCTTCGTGGAGAGGCAAACCTGTGGTTTGCTCACTTTTGCAGTTTCATCAAAATACATACAGCTGTGAAAAGCAGAGTCTGTTGCCTTTCCAGCTGACTGGAGGAGGATCATGCAGGAGAGGCACACGGAACAGTAAAGCCAAACCCTTCAGTGGGAAGCTCGGATTATTTACAGCCTTCTTTCTTGAGGCACCTGAAAGAAGAAAACTAACAAAGCCTCTGTTATGTTACCTTTGTGTTACTTAGCAGCCTGTAAATGCTAAACAAAACAGCCCAAGGAAGGTAGCTTTCAGCTGACTGGAGGAGGATCATGCAGGAGAGGCACACGGAACAGTAAAGCCAAACCCTTCAGTGGGAAGCTCGGATTATTTACAGCCTTCTTTCTTGAGGCACCTGAAAGAAGAAAACTAACAAAGCCTCTGTTATGTTACCTTTGTGTTACTTAGCAGCCTGTAAATGCTAAACCAAACAGCCCAAGGAAGGTAGCTTTTGTGTCTCGAGCAACTGTAACTTGGCTTGTACTCAGTACCGTCCTACCAGTTTCCTCTACTCTCCCACGGAATCAGCCCGTCTGTTCTGTGCAGGCCCAGTATGAACTAGCCTGAGCTGCACCTGGATAGCCCAAACCCCAGTACAAACCCTCAGATGCTGGCTGGTGTTTGTTCCCCATGGGTGCTCCTGCAGTGAATAGCAAGGCATAAGCTGGCTGTACTTTCTCTCTTCTTCCTTTTCCAGTTTATTTGGAGGTCTGGTGGCTTGCAGCTTCACCATGCTTTCTGCTACAGGGACTGGAGTCCACTCTTTGCTCGTCAGTCACCTGCCTTCATTTCAAGAGGATACTGATGTTACCTGCCATTTAATACCTTTTTTTTCTGCTGGTATTAATGTTGGCTCCCCTTCATTTAACTGTTACTGTACCGTGCTACTGAAGCAGGAAGCAATGATTTCACGAGCCCCTTCTGCTCTTTGGTCTCCCTTTCTTAGTCCAACATGAATTCAGGCATCTGAATTTGTCTGCCATCCTTCTGTGGGTGTGAGGGTGGTTAGGTTATTTCATTTCAGGATCTGACAAAATCTTCCTTCTTGTTTCCAGTAATAAAAATGTCTGTAATTCTTGTGTTTCCTCATTCATTTTCCCATTTGCTCACAGTGAGACCTGGCAGCAACTAGCTGGTCATCCACAGAACGAATTATTTCCCTAAAGCCACTAAAAATCTGCCTTTTTCAGCTAACCAAGGTATTTATATTTGACAGTGTGGCTGGTATAATCAGATTATTTTTAATTATTGCTGGAGAATCTGTAAACTGAAATGACACCCTTGTTTGTCACCTGGAAATGTTCAGGGTTCCTCTACGCTAGCATTGCACTCCGGCAGAAACAGACCCTGTGCGTACCCCGCTAACACTAGATTACCAAAAATCCTCTGAAATGTACCAAAACCAGACCCTGTGTCCTCAGCAAGTTGTTTCACTCACATCTGTTCCTTTCGGGCTGCCCTGCTAGAGCAGACATGGCCTCAGCATGGTAAAACATTTTCCAGTACAGTGCGAAATCTTATTGCTGACAGCATGTGCCATTTTTGGTTTTGTTCAGCTTTTCTTTCCAGTCACTGTTCTGATCCAGCAGAAACAAACTTTCCTCCTTAGAGCAAACCCATAGAGGAATTACTTTCTAGTTTGAAGCCGAAATTCATGCTGAAAGACTGGAGCTGAAGTTAGTGCTCAAGGCTAGGGAAGTGTATTCAGCTGTTGCAACACTTGACCCCACAGTATTTAATTCTAGCCTTGACTCTTGTATCTGTGGCTTTCTGCTTATGTCAAATACTGTCTGTCATCTCACCTCACTTGGTGACATGCTGTTTGTGAAATGTGGAGCCCCTGTAGCCCATCCTGCAGAACTTGGGTTATGTATCACGCTATTGTTGTGGAAGGGTTTTAGGAGACGACAGCCCTGGGTACTGTGCCTTTCTTTGGACAGAGGGAATAACATGAGCATCTTGGTCACATTCTTCCTAAAAGAAAAATCCTCTGTGCTTCTAAGGCTGCTGTCACACAACAGCATTTGCTGTGTAAGCTTGGAGCATCTTCTGTCTCTGACTAGGGCCAGTGCTCCATGCTTCCAATGAAGATACAAACATCCCCACAGGAGGCACAGTGTAGTAGTATTTTTTCCATCTAACCTCAGGCAACTCGTATTTGCTGTACTGAACATGATGGCTGGTGCCTTTCTTGTAGTTGTCTTGTAATACAACTGTGGGTAGCTCAGCTGTCCCTGTAAACTTAACTCTCTCCATTCTTTGCCCCACTGGAGCAGCACAGTTCACAGACTCTGAAAGGGATGCAGAACTACACACTCAGCAGGGTGTTTGTCAGAATCAAACTCACACCTTTACTTTCTGGGAAGTCTAAAATTCTTTTCCCACAGTCATTTTCCATTATAGTAAATTAATGTTTCTCTTCCTAAAAACCCTTTTTCATATGGAAAACTGATTTCTAGCAAACAGCCTCTTCCAGCTCTGGGAAAAAGTGTCCAATGTTTTTATTTAAGCTCTGTGCAGAGGTAGTGCTTCCTACTCTTGCTCTCTGGGCTATTTATTTGCACTAGATGCCACAAACGTTTTCTCATAGCTGTATTTTTACACTTGGGTGGTACCAGTAGAAGAAAACCATGGAGGTATCAGTAAGCTAGAGCTGGGTCTTGCCATGTTTATGTGTGAAGAACTTGTACAAAGGTAAATTACAGTTTGAAAGTAGATAATTGGATATTTCTCCTAGTGAGAAGTTAACTGAGAAGGCTTTTGAAATCTGAAACTCATCTGCAAACTGCTCAAGCAAAACCCTTGAGGCAAAAACGTTTATTATGAAAAGTTTAGCTGCTGGAATACCTCAGTGGGGTGATCAGCGGCAGTTTCACACAGTGTAGCTCTGGCAGCACCTCGGTGCCAGAATGTAACCTGACTGCGAGCCAGAGCACCCAAGAGGCTTGCCTGCACTCCTGCCACACCTTTCCAGACGCCTCGCAAAGGCTTTGCATGTCTTTGTGCTACAAACTCAAGGAGCAAGTGCTGTTAGCACTTACATATCACATTCTCCAAGGCAGCCTGAGCATTGCGGCATACTCCCGGCTTACTGAGAAGACATACCTCCGTGGCTGCCATTCAGAAACAGTGGCCTATGATCCCTCTTCAAGGAGCCCAATATCTTAACTGTACCCAGCAATCCTGGGTGTAGGTCCTGCAGGAAAGACCTTTCACATTTCGATCAGGTAGTTAGTAAAGAAAGGCTGCTGTACCTCCTATGTTTGCTTTCCATCAGTGATACATAGCTGCTGAATGCCTTCATTGTACCAAGCGTGTAGTATACAGATGGAATTTTAAAAAAATAATATTCTCATTAGTTGCATAGGTGTAACTGCTGTTCATGACTAATTTGTTTTTGTCACTAGTACTATGCATACTTATTAGCAGAATTAATGAAGTTATTAATGAATCTTTCAGGTCATAAAGCCCTTTAGAGAATGCTAATTTTCTGTTAACTCTTAAGCTAGCGCTGACAATACTGAGAAAAGCTTTCTAAAGAACTGGCATCTTCAGATCAGAGAATTATTGCTGTAACGTGCCCTCCAAAAGGGTTGCCTCAAGCCCTTAAAAAAAGAAATACAAGGCTGTTACATAGCAGTGCTTTCTACAAGGGAAAACAAATTTCTGGTCAGGAATTTTCCACTGAAACACACTCATAAGCTTTCTCTGGACTGTGCCTCTCTTCACAGCTACCTTCACTGCTGTCAAGATATTGTCCTTACTAAAGGTAACCTGGAAAGCTGGGGCTTCAGCATTGTTGGAGGCTTTGAGGAAAGCAAAGGAAACCAGCCATTCTTCATCAAAACCATAGTGCCGGGGACTCCTGCCTTCCGAGACAAGAAACTGAAGTACGTATGAGCTGCCCTGTGGGTCTCTGGTGTTTGTATCAGAAACACTACCAGCACTTAGTCAGCATGCATTGTTCTACTCAGGGGCTGTCTTTAACCCTTTTAACTAGTTGTGATGGGTTTACCCTTGGCTGGGAGTCAACCCCACACAACCTGTTCACTCACCCTCCCTCCCTCCCCAGGATAAGGGAGAGAATTAAAGGGGTAAAGGGAAAAAAAGGACTCATGGGTTGTGATAAGAACAATTTAATAACTAAGCTACAATAATATTGAAAGTAATACTATATACAAATATACAAATGAGTGCTACACAGTGATACTCTCATCACCCAATGACCAAGGCTCAGCCTGTTCCCGGCTAACAATCCCAGAGCAGGGAGAGTCCCGAAACTGCACTCACAGAACAGAGATAACAGTCTGAGTGTCCCAGAACTGACCGAGGGGGAGGGAGAAGGCCTTGGGAGAGGGACCACCTGGAGCGAGATGACCTGGAGCAAAGAATGGATGAGCTCCCGGAGGGTCCTCACCTGTATACTGGGCATGACGTGTAGGTTGTGGAATAGATTATTGGTCACTTTGTGTCTCAGTCCTGAACCTAAGATCAAATCCTGGGCTAGTAACTGGGGCTGTGCTCCCTCGCAGCTTCTCCTGTTTGCAGACAGCCAGAGAAGCTGAAAGACCTTGGCAGCCATGTAAACATAACTTTTGATCAGCTTTGTTCTGAGCACAAATCCAAAACACAGCCTCTTGCTAGCTGTTATGAAGAAGGTTAATGCTGTCTCAGCTTAACCTAGGACACTTGGTGATTGCTAGTCAAGTAGCTGTAGGAGCGACCTTGGTAATGACCTTGGCACAAATTTGTTTTCTGCAACATTTCCCTCTGTTGACTGGCCAGCTGGTCACGCTGCTGGTGACCTTCACTACTGTGTCACTCAAGTACCAGCAGTGTCCTCCTCTTCTCTTGCCCTCTTTGACTTAAAAGCAAGCCTCTGACAGCAATCACTCGCTGTGCTTGCATCCATTCCTTGCCCCTAATCTTTCATCTAGTGAAAAAGTTGCTTCAGAAAGAATTGATGATCTTGGCTCAGAGCGGGCTAGATGACCTTGGGGGTCCTAGGATGTAGTGTTAATAATTTTAAGTCCTGACAAGCATGTTTCCTGTCTTCTGCTTAGGTGTGGAGATGAAATAGTGGCAGTAAATGGAGTGCCAGCAATAGGAATGAGCAACTCGGAACTAATCCCAATGCTGAAGGAGCAAAGGAACAAAGTCACACTTACTGTGGTGTCCTGGCCAGGAAGCCTCGTGTGAAAGCTCAAACAAAACACACAAGTTTCAGGTATCAGTTGGCCATCACACAAAGCTAAACATGTGACATAAACCGAGGGACTGCTGAACTCTTGCTGCACAGTGTGTTGCCACAGAAGACATTTAGCTTCCTTTTTGGAGAAAACATTTCTTTACTGTGCTGAGGTTATCAACAAATCTGGTTGTTGGATTCAAAGTAATCGTTAATCCACACAGTTGTTGTAGCTTCCTGGACTCATTAAAGCTCTTCAGGATTGGTGTTGCAAAGAAAGGTCTTTTTCCAGTGTTCCCCTAGAAATTGCCTTTGAGGCACTTTTCCTCAATTTTAGAGCTCTGCTTTCCATTCCGTATTTTGAACAGGTTAAAACAGGCCTGACTGTCCGATTTCCCCTGCTACTTTAATACACTTCTGCTACTGATCTCTGCCATTCTCAGACACTGAGTCATTTTATACGTGCTTTTAAAAACCACTAATAAAACTGTAAGGATGGGGACCCAATTAAGAAGTTCCTGTAGCCCCCAGTCTTGATATTTTTAGGTTACTGAAACCTAATGAATGTGTTTACATGTTAAAAACTGATGGTAACTCTTGTAGCTGACAGCTGAAGAGCTGCGAGTTTAGCATGGGGGAGCTGTGGTGAGCCCTAGGAAGGGCTATCACCAGGTAGCTGTCATGAATCCTGATTTAGGATCCTGCTGACAATGCTGATTTATCACAAATGGGCAATTTAGACCGCTTAAAGAACCACTGCCAAAGGTATCAGCAAAAGTGGTTTCACTGAAATATGGTGTTGTAAAAGTGCAATTTTATAAAAGTTTGAGGGCAAGGTTCACTCTTACTGCACAAAGGATTTAACAGTGCTCCAAAGTTACCAAGACACAAATCAGTTACCATAACAAAGTTATGTGCAATGTTGGCCACTTAACAAGGATCTGCTGTTGGTGAAAGCTCTCTCAACCTCAAGGAGCAGCCTTGAGAGGTGTCCCAGCTCAAGGGGAGATCATCCTGATGCAGCCAGCTGCTTAGCAAGGAGCACTCAAAGAGGGCTCACTTAAGCTGTCTTATTTATGGGATAAAGTCAAATTACATGTGATGGGAGAGGGATGAATGAGACTCCTTGTACCCACAGCTTTGTTTCCTTGATAGACCAGTGGTGGAAAAGCCACCTGCTATTCATGTGTTAATTGCATGATTGGTGTTCCAACCTCATGCATCTGTGCTCACTGTGTCACTGATCCCTTGTGGGTTTTCAGAGAACAGAATGGAACTAGATAAGCTCTTGGCCTGGTTACGGCTTAGGCCTTTACCTCCTTTGGAGTCTGTAACAAACTACCACTAGTTTGGTTAAGGAGTTGAGTGCATCCCTCACAGTAGCCAGAAATAATTTTTGTCCCCTTGGCTTCCCTGGTTTTATGACTTGATAAAATGACCAGCTTTTCCCACAGAAGGCAGATGATTAAGTAAAGGGGCTTGTTACAAGAAATCTCTGTCCTAGGATGCTGTCTTATTTTTTATCAGCTTCCCAGTGATCAGATGCAGAGTTAAGGCAAGGGAGAGGAGGGGGTACCTGACACAGGACCTGTGCTGCCAGGCCTGTGAGACAAGCTCCAGCAGTTCTGTTCACATCCCTCTTGCAGCTGGAGCAAAATATCAACTCCCTGGATCAGGGTAAGCTCAAAGGGTCGTTGGCTGCCTTGGCCACATTGTATGAAATAAGCCAGCTCCAGGACAGGGCGCCCAGTTTGCCTTCAGTTCAAATCCACTGATAGTTAAAATTTAGAGTAAAGGAACTGAAGCCAAGGCAGGTTGTTTTGACCTGTGACACCTTGCTAAGTTCCTACCTGGAAACCCTACATGAAGCAATTCCTTCCTTTTTTAGAAGGCTGTTAATCAGCAGTAGAAATGACAGATCCTTCTCAAACCAGGTTGCATTGAGAAAGATCTTTCCTCTTATGCTGCTTCTGCTGTACCTTTTACAGGGCCAGCTCAGATCTGAACAATCAAAGGAGGTTCTCTCCCCTGCAAAAATACTATCATCTACAATAAATGTTTAATTCCTCCTTGTAGTAAGCTGACTGGAGGCAAGTGCCTATCATTGTCTTAAGCACTGCTTTTTTAGGGCTGGCTACTTCATAATTAGCTATCAATGCAGAGTAGAATTGTTCCTCGCTAGATGACTGACTTGTTTACACCCAGAGTGACTTCACTTCCCTCGGCTGTTAGCTTAAGGCAGTACAGAGCAGGGTCTGTTATCAGAGCCTAGGATACAGAAATAGCCTCGGATCCAATCGTCACAAAAGCTTCCCTGGCACACGGTGTGGCCTCTTTGTTTGGCTGATAAATACCACTGCGGACTTTGACAGCAGAAACAGTGCGTGGCTAGCTGGGCGCTGGAGCCTTTTCTTTCCTGTTAGTCCTACTGAATGCTGAGAGCAAAATAATTCAAAAGTCAGAAAGGTGCTTGTGGAAAACTAGTCGCTCGACCTCTGTCTGACACAAAGGAACAGAAAACCTGAAGCAATTTTTGTCTCTTTACAATCAATGTGCAGAATCTGTGCCTGGTATGGAACAGTAAATATTTACATAGATAGAGAGAGGGTAGTTCCTCCTGAGTAGTACCAAATGTCACTTGTATAAAGTATAGCAGGAAAAAGCCACGCAGCTGGTGGTCAGGCAGTTTAAGCAAGAGGATGCTGCAGGAGGCAGCAGGATTTTTACTATTACTCCATCTCGTTTCAAGATGCCTTCAGCTCCACCAAAATGTCCTGGTAATTTAAATATTGTTTCCAAGATCAGCTTGTTAATAGATATCACATTTGTTTTGATGCCTTTATAAATTATTGTAATATTACTGAAAAACATGTATTATAAGTGGTTTTGTAACCTTTCTTTCCAGTGTATCAGCTAACACCCCCAGAATAGGTCACCTCAACAACAGACACTTCTCCAAGAACCTGACCTTGTGAGGCAGGAAATACAGTAATTGTCTCCTGCTTCTCTCAGGAAAGGAGCTGGACTATCCTGAAATATACTGTGGCTGGGAGTAGGGAAAAAAACCTGGACAAAAGTAAATCCCACATGCCCTTCCCCTCAGTTGTGCCCCTGCTCCTGTCTGCAAGGCTGGTCACAGCCCACTGGTGCCTGCGGGGCTCAGAAGTGACTGAAGAGCTAACTCAGGGAATAAATAAAGCTTTATTTAACGAGGCTCATCTCCCTGATCCGCCATGCTGCACAGCTCAGCAGCTACGAGACAACACTGGGGCAGCTGCTGTTGCTCCCAGAGGAATCACATGTGCGGGCTGGGGGCTGGGTTAGCTTTTGTTGTGATTTCTGCTACTGCAGTGCAGGCAGCACAAAACATCCCTGACTGGAATGGCAGCGTCTGATGGTCTGGGAGGAAAACATCATTGCCATTAACTACATGCTGCACAACTGTAATGAAGTTAGTCTCTCTCCTCCTTAATGCTGTGCCTGTTTCAGACTGTCAGAAGCTGAAGGACCTGCCAGAGGTTCCCCAAGATGCCTTACACCTTCTCCCTGCTTTAAGCTGGCCAGCACTTGCATAATAAGACTTTTCTGAGATTTATTAGAGTCACCATTCGCCATCCCCAGCGAACACAACCATAAAACCTGCAGCAGTTACCTGATGCAAGTAAAGATTATTTCCAAAGCCCCACCTTTAGACTTCTCTAATACATGGAAGGCAAACATTTCACCTCTATTTATTTCATTAAAATAAAACCATTTCCAACTATTTCCCTTAAATTCACAGCTGCTGCTGGCAGCATAAACCTGCTAACATCAGTGAAGGACTTGGGTCCATCTGTAAAAACATTCAAAAAACACAAGAAGTTTCAGCACTGACTCATCAGTACAGGATTCTCCATCCCCTCTCTGACAGCACCATCAATAAGCCCAGGTGCAGGGGGATGTGATCACCATGAGTTATGCCTATTTACAGGCTGCATAGCTTCTGTCACCTCCACAAACAGAGCAAGAGACCAGAGGAGTGGATATGGAATAGCTCCGTCCACCCACGGAGAGGTACCACGCACACCTTAGCATGCCAAAAGGGGAGAAACACTACTGACTGGGGGCCAAGCCCTAGACTTAGTGTAAAATGCTATTGCCAGCATTTTCCCCTGATTCAAGACAGGCAAAAAACCAGCTCAGACTGGTCTGGGGGGCACTGCCTGGCCTTTCCTTTGGTGCTAGCTGTCCTAGCAATTTCAGAGTTCATGTTCTGGGGAAAAAAAAAATACACCAGATTTCATAATTACAGAATACAGGCTATTTACGGAGGCACAGGTGAGGATGCTCAGCCCCTCTCCAAGCTGACGCTCCCATGTCATGCAAGTGAGCCCGTCTCACCTTCTCACTGGTTTTGTTTTGATTTCTCCTCTGCCCATGCTATGCCACAACTGGGTAACAGCAAATTCATCCCAAGTTCCTGAAAGCTATTTGGCAGGTGAGCTGAAACCTACCACCCTCACCCCAGGAGAAGCTTGCCAGGAGGTTCCCCCTCGCTCCACCAGCTCAGGGCCAGGCGCTGGGATTCCTTCAGCGAGGCACCGCTGCCCTTTTCCAATGCCCAAAGAGGCAACCGATGAGAGATGCCGTATTCCTAAATTGTGGTGTTCCACCAGAACCCTGACACGGCTGCAGAGGGAGGAACAGTGTGAAGCCTGATTACCAGCTCTGCCCTTCAGCTCCGGTTCAGTGCACACACCTCCCCCCTGCACACACATTGCCCGTGATCTCAAAGCATCTTTAAAAAGCTACATGAAAATGACAGAACAAACAAAAAACCCACTCTTTTTTCTTCTCCCCACAGGTTTTGCAGTTAATGACTAATCAAATGCACTGTAATAGCGTATAAACTGTTATCATAGTGCTGTACTGGCTCAAGTCTCTAAGGTTGTAAGCTTCACATGACAGACTGGCAAGATTACAAAAAAAAAATAGGTAACATTTCAGAACCATATTATTTTACGGCAAAGATTTAAGACAGTTTTAAA